TGAAAAATTGGTGTGCTTTCTGTGAGCACTTAGCTGGGGATTGAGTATTTCTGAATGTGACGATCCTATTGGATGTAAGAATAACCAGGTATCTCTTTAGAAAAGAGTCTTACCTATTCTGGGGAGACCAGGGAAGTTGGAGTAGCATCAAATGTATGGGAGAGGACTACTTTCTCAGACTTGTTCCTCTAATGTTCTTATTTCTAATAAATAATTACATAAACGAAAGTACTGGAAGATATTCAAGCAGGAAAACGGCTTTATTTTTAGGAAGGGCAGTAGGCTATTTATCTCAAGTTGGCCTAAGCAAACAATCTTCAAAAAGGCCTCAGAACTGTGTCTGCCAATTCCAAATACTGCTCGTAAAAAACAAAATAAACAAATGCAAGCATGTTTGGGTTGGTTTTGGAAATGTCCTCAAAGGGCAGAGGGCTGTTGTTTCCATGGCAATGCCATGCATTTCCAACAGACTGATCTGTCTTTTAGATCCATGGATTTTAAAATGGGTGGAGGATGTTCACCTCTCTATATAGCAAAAGATGGAGAGTTTCAGGGATATAGTACTATGTTGAAAACTAAATTTCTGTTTGGCTAAACTGTTCCTTCCAGAAACTTGTCAAGAGGAGAAGAATCTCACCTTTTAAGTGAGAATCTACTAAGCAATACTGTAATGCCTTACCTTTCCCCTCACGTCTGAACATCCATGCAGCCCGCTGAGGATCCTTCTTAGATCTGGAAGGAATCACACCTTTTGACTCTATCTCTAGCAGCAAAGAGCATAACACTGCTGCCCAGATACAATCAAGTCTCAGATGACACTAAACTTAGCAGTGATTTGGCAGCTGATGCACTGTGACTGCTGCTTCGAGTGCTGTTCTTCAGACTCAGCTCCCCAAGTGCACCAGCTGTCTCTTCTTTTACAATGGTCCTGAACACAAGCACCATCTTTTTCTTCTGAGCCTGTTTTGAATCAAATGTAATGAGATTCCTGGTCCAAGACTGATAGGCATGGGTCTAATGAATATAACAAAGGCTTAAATATCTTAATGTAGACCATTTAACCCTGAATCCACATCCCCTCATGTACCCCAGTACTCAAAGAGAAAACTCTGGGAATAACAAACACTGGTGTGGATCCAAGGGAGCCTTTTATCGTGGAAGAAAGGGACCCTTTGTGCATTTATACGTTCACAGGAAAGTCACAAGTTCCAGTACTAACTAAAGAAACATGCCATGTTTTCTTACCATGAGATGAGAGAGTCAATCGCTACATCTGAATTACTGAATAAAGCAGTATGGGGACCTCCTAGTAAAGTAGCATAACACAGCCCATGTCCACGTGCTGAAGCTGTCTCTGTGTTTGCCCAGAAAAGAGCAGTCCTATACAGACTGCCTTTTGGGAACACATCCTAAAAGATGTCATGTTCTGAGCTGTGCCTGGACATCATCAGGAAACCCACAATCTGTCAAAGAAGAGAATCAAGGCAGAAAGTTAACTATCAGTCAATGTGGATGATCATAAGCCAGTGCCTGAAGCCATGTCATGCCCTACTTCAGTTGGCTGATGCAGATGTAACCACAGAAAACACTCTGCGTGTTACCTACAGAGCACACTTCTCTCAGGAGAAGCAAGCTAGAAGAGACAGGGACACAGCAAACATACCCACCCCAGCACAGAAGCACCACTGCTCCCAGCTGGCAGCAGTGAAGGAACGGGGACCTCATTCTGCTCTCAGTTACACAGGCACAGATCAGGAGCAGCTGCAACGAAACCCTTGGAACTGCTTGTATATAATATGGGAGTAAACTCACACCCTGTGTTTGTGGAATGTCTTGCATCTTCAGTCCTATCTTGCACCCATACCAGCAGAAGGGTCTGGAGAAACAGAATATGACTACAGGCTCCACAGCACTTTCAGCTCTACAGATGGTTCTTGTTTTTAAGAAATGTAACAATTAATTCCAAATGCAAAGGGGGAAAAAAATAAATGCACTATGGATGTTAAAGATTTTCAAGTGTTCATCAAAATCCATATTAGATTGGACTTTTCAGCTTGAACTGGAATGAGCATTGTCCCTTGGGAAAAAAAGCATCTAATAATTGTGAAGACATAGTCACTAATGCAGAACTAGCTTTTTGGCCTACTAATTGTCTTCACCATTCAGAAACAGACAGTGGACAGAAATGTTCTTCACTCAGTTGCCTACATAATAATTTTTTGGGGAGGATATTTCCGGTTTTTTTTCCAGATCTGATTGAGCTTTGTAATTATTTTATGCTCCTAGAACATTCAGCCATTTGAATCCCTCAGTTAGCTCAACACTCTGACACTTCTTTTTATAAATATCATGTTGGCTCACACCCTGGAACAACTAACCAATCACTCCATTATCACTAGCAGGGCAAGGAGCAACAAAAATACATCAGAATAATTGAGAATGCCTGAGAAAACTTCTGAACCCAAAGGAAACAATCTGGATCTCATTTTCCCCTCATTCTGTCTTCTCTCGTAGCATTGATTTTCAATACATCATTTCTGGTTTAAATTGATACAACCCATGGTTTAAAACAGTGTATTAAAATAATGAACATCAACACCTTCCAAGTTTTTGTGATGACCTGAAAAACTTGGGGAAAAAATGTTGCCAAAAATACCCAGGTGACTTAGGACTTTACATCTCATTTCCAAGAGGGGCTCTGGCAGCCGGAATAGCACAGGCACCTAAAACTGAGGCAGATGTCTTGAGGAACTGAGATGTGTATCTGCCCAGAATAGCATGTAAACTGGTTCCCAGTGAACTTCAGCAAGGACTGTACAACCCTGCCTGTACAACTGGAACCAGAGATGTTGCACGGAAGTGCACCTGAGTTGTTACTGCTGGGGGAGTGGACTAGATGAAAGCCATGGCTGCAATGCAGGCATACCCTTAGCTGAAATATAAAGGACGTGGTCTTTATGGCTGACTGAAGGATTAACTCAGACACCTTTAGACACATTCATATATTTCCATTGTCCATGTTCAACATAGTAAGGAAAAAATTATTCTGCTTAGACCTGCAAAACCAAGAAAGCTTTTGGGCAGACACTAATGGACAAAAAAAAACTAGGACCACCCACCAGTTGAGGGGCATCAGAGAATATAACACGACTTAGATCTGTATGGGAGAGAAATATTGCCAAAACAGACACTGGGGTAAGAATCTGTTTTTAATTTAGAAACTGTCTCCCTTCCACAGCATATGGCGTAATCATTCCACTGAAATCCTTAGTCTGGTGGGAGCCAGTCCTACAGCTCTGCGTTAAAACTAAACAGATAGAAACAAGAAGCACGAGTAGATAGTTTTTCTGCTGTCCCAAAGTGGCTATGGTATGAAGACTTGTCCTCCTAGGAGCTATTATCTAAGAAAATGTTTCCAAAGCAAACCAGATAAAATATGTGTGTAAAAATGGTAGAGGCAACGGAGTTTTCCATTTATGTTCATCTCAGCTTCTCAGAGCTCTCTGGGATAAGATTGGATTAATGATTCATTTGTAAACCTCATTTGTAAAGCTTGCTGTTAGTCATCTCGTAAGATACATTATTTTCTAAACAAACAGCTTATTTGGCTGGATAGAAGCATCTACCCACCCTTGAGAATGGAAGCTAACACGTGGATGAACCTCAGGACTGCTGACTTTTGCTACCCTGTGCTTCACAGCTATAACTACAGCACCACGCAGACACACAAGTTAAGGTCCCAGAAGCAATGTGGCCACGGCACTATGCCAGGGTTAATTAGCCACAGCCACCAGCAAGGCTATTTAGCAATAGTCACAGGCTGGATTTTGCAGCTAGTGGAGATATCATCACATGGGGCTGCATTTGGTGCTGTAGATCTGCTACTCGTGTCATAGCTTACAGTGGTCATGAGAGGTGATGATTAGCTCAGTGCAGAAAAGAAAACACCTTTCCTTTCAGGGCAACCCAAGAAAATTAGGAAGAGGAAGATAAAAAGGAAATCTAATCCTAACTAGATCAGTACAATAGATTAAGAAACCTCATAGGTCATACAAAGACAAGAAGGATCATACCCTTCAGATTCACTTGAACTTCCCACTTTTCCAACTTTTTGCATGGGTAAGTGACCTCAAGAGCCACAGCATACACAAAATGGTGTAGAGACAGCAACAAAAAAATATTCCAGGACAGCCCAATGCATCTCAGGCTCTGACAGCCACCCCAGGGATGGTATTTGTAAATGCTAGCAGAAACAGGGTATGGTAAATAATTTCTAGAGATCTAAATGACATGCTGGGGCTTTCACATCAGCTTTGCAACAACATTGCAAGAGGTAGGCAAGGGTAAGAGTTGTAGGATCCAAAAATTCATGAGTCTGCATGGACCTAACATGTTACACCTGGAATGACAGCAGGTTTTCACTGGCACATCTCACCAGCCTCACAGACAGACAGCCCGCCCTGCTTTGGTTGCCTCTCAGAAGCAGCCAGCCAGCTTTCATTCAGAAGGCTATTGATCTTTGTACATACCTTTCTGTCTCCTCTAGGCTCTTCACCCAAACCTCATCAAAGCTTTGATGTAAGGTAAACTTGCTAAAACTTTAATTTTTTAAGTAAAAGCTATTGTTTTCCTATAAAAACACCTTCTTTACTGAATAAGAGTCATAATTTCTAGTTAACTCATCCTCAAGTACCAAATGCAATAAGAATCTACCAGCTCCCCACCCACAGGCAGGCACTCAGTGCTGGCCAGGGGCAGGACACAGGCAGGAATGGTGACAGCTTAAATATGACAGCTTAAATACTGTGAGGCAAAACAGCAAGCACCAGGGCAGGGACTGAAAGAACAGACTGGAGTTCAGCAGTGCATGTGTGGTCTGCTATGATGGGGTTGTGCAGTGTGCTCTGGGGAGACCTGCCATTGTAATTCCTGCTTTCCCTGGCCTCTCAGCTGAACTAAACTCTCCAAATACATACACACAGGAAATACTTTATTTTTAGGAATGCCAAGAAGGATTTTATCTTACCAGCTCAGGAAAATGCTCTCCTTGCAACTGTAATGGTAATGCCAACGGATGCCTTGATGGATCTGGAATCTGTGTGGTAAGGAATTCCTGTCTTCTCTGATAGTTCTTCACTGAATAACAGTACCTTTATTCTTTTTTTTTTTTCTTTTCAATGACAACACGAACTTTTTCACCTTCTTTAACTCTTGCATGAGGCCTCACATGAAGGAAATATTTTCCAGGCAAACCCAACAAACCATGGTCTGACTCTCCTATTAACACTAATGCTCAATTTCAATACACAGCAAAAGCAATGCCTGTACCACAGGAGCTTTTTTGCTGAAAAGCAATCATAAGTAGGGCCAAGATCAATACGTTAATATGATTATCTTGGCCAAATTTCATTTTCACTTACTGAAGTTATCTCTGCAGATTCAAAACACTTCCTGTGTTCAGGATTTGTAGGAGTCAGTATGCTGGGGAAAGTTTTTAGACCATCAGAAATATGGAAGGAGCTTTGTATACCTCTGGAGAAAAAAATTATAAATTCAAACACATTTCATTCTCCCCTCTATGAATACAGTGCTGTATATCATATAAACAATTTACACTGGTGAGTGACCCCTGTGAGTGTGTATACTTGTGTTATCTGTGGTAATTCTGCTTCATGGCAGCCTCCTGCTGTGAAAGAACAACATGAGGAGGTTGAAATACTACACCAAGGGAAGAGCATGTTGAACTGCAAGGTAGTATTACAATTTCCCATATGTTCAATCTCACTCAATGCCAGCTCATACAGAAAGCTGTGAGCTAGTATTTGTAGTTAATCACTTGTAGTCAATCACCAGAGCAAAAATCATTCCAGGAAAACTAACCCAAATTACTAGTGGGCAATCAGAGCAGTAATACACTGTAAAAAGGATGGAAGTTAATACCATTATGTATCTAAAAAACATAGCAAGAGCTAGGCACTAGTGTACTCTTTACAAGCTTGTAAAGCAGGAGTAGAACCCAAAGCTCCTTGCTCTGCTATGTGTTATTTATGACAAGTCATAAACCTTTGCCCTTGGTTTGTCTCTTCATAAAATGGCCTGATACTATTCACATACTCTGCATTGTTGCAGCCTCAATCAAGTTTTTAGTTATATAAATACATAAAGTCATGCTCCATGGAATATCTCTTACTGTTTTTACTCCTGTGGGAGCAAGACAGTACAGCTGTTTAGCCCAGGTGAAATTATTATGACTTGCCCATGGTAGTGTTCTTAGGATCGACTGGTTTCTCCAGAAGACATACTGGTTTAGTGTTTTAATATTTAAAAATTTAAAAGTGGTTTACACTACCAGATGTTCCCAGCTATTCTCTTTCACATGCACAAGGCTTTTGTTCATGGGATGATTGTCCCCTTAGTACTGAGTGGCAATGATGACAAGAAGAAACTTCCAATGGAAGACTTGAAAACAAGAGAGAGAGCTGGACAAACGTCTGCTTCTGGTGACTGGTGACGAGAGAGCTTCTGCAGTAGACTATATGAGGTAGGGAGGTGGCTATATCCTCAGTTTACAAACACAACAGTAGACTTGTTTCCTATCTTCTACAAAAATAAGGCTGATGCCAAGGGTTCAGGGAGAAAAAAAAAA